GAATAGCACCTCATCTTTCTCCTTAGCCTACAATCTATCATGCTAGTAATGTCTTCTGCTTCAAGGAATCTCCCATCTTAGACCTTAATATCCTCCCACTGCATTCATATTCCATGTCTTATTAACACTCAAAGGATTTTCTGGAAGAGCATAGAACATGGATGGGACAGGAGTACCCCTGCTCTATCTGTCCTTAGTTGCATGGAGCAACCCCAACATCTTCTTCATTGGATTCCTACAATTTATATAAAAGGCAGTAATAACTGCATTGACCAATGAACACAAGGAAATCTCCAAATTCGACATCAGTACAATACCTTCATTGTGCCCCTTGAAATATCCCAAAGGACCATGCGACTTTTTAAGTTCACTGATAAGGACTCAAATTAATACAGGTTTCAAGAGCAGCCATTTTTCTCCTCTTTTGTTTTGTTAATAAGCTTCCACAGCAATACTGAAATTACACACACACACACACACACACAGTCAATCTGGAACTGAGAAGGGTAGCCAACTGTGTGGTAATGAGTGGCATAAGACATGCCAGTTATAGGAGCTGTTAGATGGCATGGCTTGTACATGTGGGGATGAATCTCGTACAGTTATATGTTCTGTGTTCATAGGGTCAATGAGTGTGGCTGTTTGGAACTACAGGCCTTTGCAGGAACAAGGTTCTTAGTCAAACTATTTTGTAATGCAGAGATGTGTTAGTTAATGTGGGTACATGTGCTTGTTGGCTGATGCTGAGTTTGGTGTTCAGATTGTGGGTGTTGGCTTGGTTACAAATGCAGATTGACTCATGAGGCTTTAGATTCAAGAGCTGCTTTGGAAAATATTACCTCTTTCCCTTTGCTTTCTAGGATGGCTCCCTGACCCCCTCTTTAAATCTCTTCATCCTGGCCTGGAATCTTTTTGGTGTCTGGATAAGGACTGCTTTAAGCTCTGTTCTCAACCAAATGGTGAGAATAGGGTTGTCTTGCCTGATTATCCACAGCTTGACTTTCATGTTCAAAACTTGAATCACTCAAGATGGTTAACCAAGAACCAAAACTACAGCAGAAAATATCACAGAATGCTCCCAAGCTGCTAAAGTGATTATTCTCAGAGAATGAAAGTCCATCCAAAACACACACAAGTTGAAACCTTAACCTTGGTTTGACACTGTTTTTGACTAAGGATGCTTCTGTATGGAAGCTATCATTGCTCTCGGATAATGATTTTTTGACTAATTAGCAGCTTCATATAGCTGATTTGAAGATGAGAGAAGTGATTTTCTGGAATTTACTATTAGCTCAACAGGTTATAAAAAGCACCAAGAGCATCTGAATCTATCCCACTGCGTGCATGATTTTAAAACAGACTGGGGTATTTAAGTAAGGAAGAGAACATAGGAAGATTGGGTGCTCCCCAAATGCAAGGGAAATGAATCTAATTGGGTGTCTCTCACATCGTATTTAATTAACCTTAGATGAGGGCTACATAGAGCAGCGCAAATCTGTCAATTTCATGAGAATCTATCTGTTCTGTAAATTATATCAGACACTGTGTAGTACGGTAATTATAGCAAAAAAATCTTACCTGCCATGCCTCAACTTTCTTGATATCTGCACATGACCCATTGGCAAATAGCCCTTTCCCAGGAGTGCAAGTGTATATATCCTGCAAAGCATGAGCGATGGAGTATACCGCCAAGTACACATTATAAGATATCCGCAGGTGAGTATAATCCATGTATGGTGTCTCCACACTGGTGATGTTCTCATCCCCTGTACATGGGGGACGGAATGCAGCCGTACCATTTCCAGCTCTAGCGCCTTCTTCATGGCCTTTGTGGAAAGAACTTGGAAAATTTTTGTTTCCTTCTGGTAGGTAGCAATTAAATGTCTCCTCCCAAAACTCTTTGATAAATCCATTGTTAGCAGATTTCTTAGGGTTTACCTTCTGCAGAAAGTCACGAAAGCCAGGAATCTGTCCCGCCTTAAGAGCAAATCCAATAGTGCCCCCCATGACATGAAAGAATTGTGGCATAGCTATCAATGATGAGCTGGCCCAGGCTTCACTTGCCAGCCAAATCCTGCCAGTGATGTTCCGTGTGACAATCTCTTTGATCAGTGGTTCTAGGTCAGGCGCACTGGAGAAGACAACAATCACTTTGGCAGTGGAATTCTGGATGACTTTCACCACCTGCTGGATCTGATCCTCAGGCAAGTACTGGGCAATGAGCTCACTGAAGTCAATGCAGATGTTTCTTTCCTCTGTTTCTTCCCTGAACTTTTCAATACCCGGCCGGCCATAATTGTCATCTGCTGCAATGGTACCTACCCAATTCCAGCGGAAGTACTCTACAATGTCAGCCATAGCAGTGGCCTGATGCTCATCATTAGGTATTGTGCGCAGGAAAGATTTGTACTCATTCCTGTTGCTCAGGAGCCGACTGGATGAAGCATAGCTAACCTGGAAAAGGAAACAGGGAGTAAACTCTTATATAACACTCTTACGCAAAAACAATTCTGAAATGTTTCCTGGCTTTCGCTGGGTTGGAATACGAGAAGAAACACATTTTGCAGTTGTTAGAAAATTCCCCTGGTTCTGAGGCCACGATTTGATCCCGAAACACAAAATGAAGTTGTCAGCAATGGTAAAAGGCTTGTGGGCTGCAGCATCTTCTGTTGGTTACAATTCAACTGATGGACAAGATGGAATTCTTCAATGGCAGCAGTAAAAGTTTTCCATCTGGAACTACTCTATCAATTTTGACATTTTGACATCACAACTGGGCAATTGTTTACATATGGAGATATTCTGAAACGTTACAGGCATATGTTTTGTATATACTCAAAGAGTTATGAATAGGCAGAATATTTTGAACCACAAGTGAAAATTTATCCAAGAAAGTTAAAAGAAGGGAGAGGTAGTCTCAGAATCCTAACATGCAAATTCACTTCTTTTAATCCAAAGTTCTTTCTACCTCAGCATCACCTTCCCCGTTTTTTTGTTTCTCATCTGTATCTCCATTAAGGCAGCTCAGAAGATCCACACACCACTGTGCATACACCCAGGTTCCTTTCTCACTTGCTCCATACAGGTTCCTTTCTCACTTGCTCCATTCCCCATTGGCTGGCTCTCTAGTCCCCATTCTTGCTTTTTTCCAGCTTTCTTTGAGCCTCAGTCTGCCTGCTTTCTTCTCCTACCTGTCTGGGTCACGGTGTCAGGCCCAGCCCAAGAACAACGGTGAAACAGTCCAGTTGAATGAAGTTCCTTTACTTGCTTATCCCCTATAGACAGAATCTTGCCAAACTAAATCTGTACTACTGCAAGTAGTGGATATACCCTGGGAGATTCTAGGGAGTGGCCATCCTGAACCTCTTATGCTTCCCACGCTACGCCTCAGGACTGTGTTGTCTTTTGTCTCCTTTCCCTTCCTGGGATGCACCCCTTCCTTCCTGATAGCCTTGCTCTCTGTTGCTATCCACCACACACGGCCAATCCAACACCAATTTTCCTTGCTGCTTCTCCCATTCCTTCAGAACGTTCTATTTCTCCTCACTCCCCAATTTTGTCCTATCCATTCTCCAATATCCCCTTTACCAGGCACCTGCAAAGGATATCTGACTTTTCTTCCTTCTATTTTTGCAGCTGCCTGGGAATGCTTCAGTAAAAAGCACTATCCTTTAGTCACTCATCCCATTAGCTTCTTAAGACAACCTCTGGGCACATATAAATCCAGAAGCATTTGGGGCAATAAAGATGGCAGCTGTCTGGAGAGCAGTGTTTCACACAGAATGTTCATGACTCCATGAACATAGTTTTAATTAAAGAAGCAAAAAATGTCACAGGTATTAGCAGGGCAGTTTGCAGGTGAATAAGAAGCTGCTCACAGATGCAGTGAGCAATATGCATGGCCAGCATATTGCCTATTCCTGCCTTAGAAAGATCCCCTTGAACAAAGAGTTCAAGACTCTTTAAGAGGTGGGCTAACAACTATAGATATCGTTGGAATTACAACCTTAACATTTTAAAGCCTAACTGGGATTATGTGTCTTTATCAATCAATCTACTGGATTGATGGAAGCCAAACACCACTCCTGAGGAAATACATTCCATAATTTGAGAAAGGATAAAGCCTTCCCCCATCATCCTGAAAAATGGCCTCTCAGTGGGAGAGGTGGTCCCTCAACTGACCATAAACCATTTGGAATATTCTTCCTTTCAGAGCAGGCCTTCAAGTGGGCTCTAATCATGCTGTGTCTCATTTATCCCAAGACTTTTCCTCTACCAGTCAGGTTGCCACATTTTCCCACTTCATCATTCTCAGCTTGCCATTAAATCAGGGGGCTGTCTTGGATCAGTGAAAGGGAAGAGAATATTTAGAATTGATTGCCCAGACTGTTTCTATATTCCACAGCTCAGCCAGAACTTTGAGAATATCCCCAACATATAAGAAAATTTCCAATCACATTCAGAAACAACCCAGATCCATCTGAGCATACAATGTTATTGTTCATGGTGAGTTTTCAAACAGAAATTTATTCTAGGAATTTTGCGAGAGTCCACTAGAATTATACACACACACACACAAAATTTGGGAATGCAGACGGAATAGGGAATGACCTTGAAGGACATGAGGAAGAGCTGCTTACCAAGGCAACAGTCAGATAAGAGGGGCTTGAGCAAGGGCCAAGAAATTAGTTTGCATAAATTCTCAGAGAGACCCCTCCCTAGCTCACACAAAGGTAAAATGAGGGAGGAGGGAAGCACATTCAGACTGGCAAGATCCTGTTACTACAGCTGATCCAATAAAAGAAGTTTTAGACCAATATGGCATTGGTTTCTTAATCTGCTCTACCTTTTTGGGTTGACAGGGAGATATGGCTTTTCGAAATTCTCATTTGGTCTAGGATTGGCCTGCAAAGTCCTTCATAGGACTGAACAGTAAATACTTGATGGGACTTGATAGTATGAAGATACAGACAAGTATATTGATATAACCTGACATGGGGCAAAACTTTAGAGGGAGAAGGGAAAACATTATGGAATATTCCAAAAGAACTAGAGGAGTTGGGCTGAATGTGAATTTCTGTGATATTCAAATTTCTGAAATTCAATTTCAGAGTTAAATAAATCACCTGCTTGGGGAAAAAAAATAAAAGGCCTGAAAAATCTTATTAGATTATTTATTTGAATTTATTGGATGGGACAACGATCCATCACAATAGATTGTTCTTTGAATTCAGGCATTTTCCCTCCAGAGATGGGCTACTTCAGACAGTTATATCAGTCAACAGTCTTCCATTTTCAGGCCATGAATTTAAAATCTTTGAGGAGCATCCAAACTAGGTTAGCCACAGTCAAATTAACTTATTAAAAATGGGGCCAAACCAGCAACAACAACAATAAATAATTTTTTTAAAAAAATCAGAGAAAACCAATGCCCCAGATGGGATCATATCTCACCATGGGTTGTTACATGCTGAAACAGTTCAACAGAAAGCTGCAAAATTAATTACCATAGCTGACGGAAATACATAATGGGCATTATGCTACTTAATATGGGCATAAGAGAATAAAGAAGTTACAGAGAAATTATCCAGTGATTAAGGGTGTAGAGCTGCCTTTTTGAATATAGGGGCCACTAAGACATAAAGACACAGACCACTAGAATGACTTGTTGAATACTGTTGGTTCTTATAATTAGAAAAGCGATGTTTATTCTTTTAAAAAGAAGGGAGATGTGGAAATGATATTGCTCTTTAAGACTTTATACATGTGGTGAGATTGGCTGAAGAGCTGGATGAAACTTGCCCTAGAGACAGTATAAACATTTTGTAACAAATGAGCTCAGCTACCCAAGACCATCCTATTTATCATCATGCACAGTGACAACATATGCTCACCTGAGGTATATAAAAGAGACCCAGAAGGTTGGCAACTGCAGTGGAAATCCCAGAGCCTGTTGCTCCCACTACCGCAATTGTTGAGGGAATATGATCTGAGCAATTGCAGAACTCATCCAGATTCAGAGAGTCAATCTTGTTTTGGGCCACAAAACTCAGTGTAGCTTCCAAAGCTTTAGACACTGTGTTGCAGGTATCAAATATGCTGTATCCAAGAGTCATATTGGGAAGAAGAGTTGGGCTGCTATTAATTTCCTCAATGGCAAAGATCATCGCCTGTAGCCAGCGAAAACCACGGAAATTGTACCTACAAAAAAGGAGGAGATATCAAAATAAGTGCAGCTGTCTCGTATGCGGGTAGAGGAGAGAAACAGGAAAAGGTGTTGTTCTGAGTGAATGGAAGAGCACTTCTTAAGTCCATTTTCCTCCAAAGAGAAATGAATCTACATATTTCAAAGCAATTAACCCAAAATAGGGCCAGTTCACATAGATATCTATTACAAGTCACAATGACATGTATTATGATATTGTTGTACAAATGATGCAATTTACATCAGTTGCATCATGTCATTATCAAGCATATGATATGAATTACACAAGGCACGTCATATGTGTGATGAGGTAATGATGCACAGAACATAATTTGACCCCTTCGTCCCCCCACGGACACCCATGCCAGCTATATTACATATATTACAAAACAGAGCCCTGTTGGATCAGAACAACAGGCATTTTGACACTGGCAGAGAATACATACTCCTGGACTTCTCAGCAACTACTGATACAATTTAACAGAACCTCCTTCTTCACTAAAAGATAAATCAGAGATCTTGCTTTGAATGATTGCATCATCCACAGTCCAGAATACTGTGCTAAGAAACTGTTCTCATTCAGAATTGCCCTATGCCATTTTTCAAAAATAAGTATTTAACATTTATATGACATCCCATTTTCTGGGCAATCCATGAGGTGTTACATGCGGTACTATTAGAATGTTAAGGCCCATTTTGTCCAACATTCTGTGTCAGCCACTGACCAAGCAAATGATACACGAAGCTCATAAGCAAAATAGAAGAATCATGGCTTTCCTCCAGGATTGTCCCCAGCAGCTGACATTTTGGTACATAGGAGCATGGACATGAATACAGTAACTGTCTGTAGCTTTTCCTAGGATTGTGTGACTGCTCTGAAACATCATTGGAAGACTGAAGCAAAATCACTGCACAGCCCTGATTACAATATTAGTAGCTTTATTTTCAATGCTTTTCCTTATGATTCCTAGCATGGAATTCATAATTTTAAACAAGCAACACATTGGGTTGACATTTTCACTGATACACTATATCAGTATATCAATACCCTGTGACTCCAGCAACTTTTTCTTAGGTGATCTCTACCTCCACTTTATAATTTCGTAACAATTTATAACCTGTTCTAGAATCATCCCACTATCGTGTTAAAATTAAGAGCTATGCAAAACAGGTTACATCATTTCAACCATAGCTAAGTGATGCCATGCAGATGTTGCAAATCACTAGTGCAGAAATTATCTCAGTCAATCACTGCCAGCTTGGACTTCATTAGCACACATGCGGAGATCAGATTTTTAATCCAATTTACACAACTTTGCATTTGTTTACACTGAACTGCATTCCTTATTACAAAATTCATTCATCTAATTTGGAAATATCATTATGGTGCTCTTTACAATCCTTTTATTTTTATAACCCTGAATAATTTAGTATCATTACTTCCGGTCGCAGTATAGATCACTGTACAATTTAGTTTGCTCTTTTTTATAATACTTGGAGACTTCCCAATACTTAAATCTCTCTAGACAGTGTATAAATGAATTAAACCATATTAACCATAGACAGAACATTAAAAAACAACAACATAGAAAATAGCACAGGTTCTTTTATCTATGAAAATGAAGAGGTCTTCACACAGCACCTATAAGGCCATAATGGAAGGGTCAGGTGAACATCCCTGGAGAGGCTTTCCACAAACAAGAGGCCATTCATGAAAAGATTCTTTCTTCTCTGATTGGCTCCCTTGCCTCATTTGGCGGGGCACCTAGAGAAGAGCCACAGGTGAGGCCATCATGATGATCCCGAGAAGCAAATATGGATGGATCTTTTAGGTAACTTAGCCAAGATTTAGATTTACAGGCGAATTAAGAAAAAAAATAAGGCAAGCCCAGAAACAGACTGACAGACAAAGAGATCATTAACATTTCTAGTGATGATGAGGAATCTGTGAGTACTCCCAAATAATACACCTGATCATCTAAGGGCAATGCAACATCCGCCTCAGCAATGAGAGATTCAGTCCTACTTGTTCCTCCAGCTATGTTGAGGTTATGCATACCAGGTCAGACTTATTTATCACTGATAGTTAAAAATAGATGAGAGGGCTCAACACCAACCAAAGGCAAACTGATAAAGCAACTGTTTTAATTGGGAAAAGAACCAGAACAGAAACAAGTTTATGGGGTCTGATGGCTCTTCTTTTCAACCTGCTTCTAAATCTCTTAACTTCATAACTACTTCTGCCTACTATCAAAACAATAAAGGTACCTCCTGGGTTAAGGATGCTGAACATAACAAACCACTATTAAGAAGCTTTGCTCACTATTCCAATGGTTAGAGATGCAAGGCTCAAATTGTGCATGAAGCAGGCCTTCTCACCAGTCACCCCCAAAATATAGAATGCCCTCAACTAAGACATTTCACGTAGCTGCTTTCTATAAGGGTAACCGAACCCCCTTGGTTTTGTGTAGCCACTAACACTCTTTTGTACTGAATTTAATATTTTATATGAAATGCAATTATATTTTATGTTGTAAACCACAAACTATTTTGAAAATCTGCATATATAGTAGAATTCAGTAAATAAAAATCAGATCTGATTTACAGACCTACTTCCAAAGGGATCAGTCAAATGCTTCAGGAAAGCCCACACACAAGGTGTGGGAGACATAGTAAGACTTTAGTTGCTTCCGTATAAGTCTTGAAGTGGCTTCATTTTCTAAGCCATAAAACTATTAGCTAGCAGAGGTCACAAAACCTTTAAGGCCTCTGGCATGTGACTTTGAAGGATTTGACCTGGACTTACCTTATGCATTCTACCGATTCTGGCCTAGATTTCAGATCCTGGTGTTTAGCAGCCACTCCAAAATGAATGGGAAACAGTCCTCCAAGAATGATGTCTCCTTTCTTCTGTGCCCTTTGATTTGGTCCATAGGCAGAGCTACTCCAAGTAAATGCAAAGAGGACCAAACAGAAGCTATAAAAAGTCATCGTTCCTCCTTTACACCAAAGGAATTACGTTGCAAATTTCAGATCAGGTACCTAAGAAGCAGAATAAACCTAGTAAAATTTGACATATTTTTTCTGTTTGAAACACCATGCACTATGGCTTTGATGGGGAGGCTTAATGTCTAGTAAGCCACAGGACAATAACGATAGTTCTGATGTCTCTTCAGTGGACTTCTCCATTGTAATTTATCTGATCCAGCAATTCCTTGCTTCTTCGGTATCACTAGTAGGTCAGGTAGAATTCATCTTCAAGACTTCCTAAAACAATATTGAAATGTAAAAATGTCATTTCACGTATACAAAGAAGTGTAGAACTGTCCATAGAATCAACCCCTCCCAAATACCAACCACTCCAGGAATACAAATATATATGTAACTTGAAGATTTACAAGGTGTCTTCTTTCTTGCCTTGGCTATGAAATGTCAAAATTATTGTAATAAAGCTCATGGCGTATATCAGCAGAAGTACATCTGAGGACAGCTTCAAATTGTGAAGTCACAAATCACATCCTTGTTCTAAAGCTCTTTTTAAAAGTTTTTTCTTATAATTATTTCATAAAACATCACATTTGCTTTATATACTGAAAAAGCAAAAATGACAAATATATCACATTTACCTAATTTATTATGATCCCTTCAAAAAAAGGAGACTAGACAGAGAAAAATTATGAACACAGACAAAAAACAAAGCAGTGACCAATCCCCCCATCTTGTTAACCTAGGACTCAACTACAATCACTACTGGATATTTTCTTCTTCCCAATAATATTTGTATGTGTGCATGTATGTTTGTGTATACACACTAGACAGAAGCCACAATCCACCCCTAAAGTCAGAGTTGGACAAAAAGAAAAGATCAATAATCATTAAAATAAAGTTATTTTAATTTATTTTAACTTTAAAATAAGGTTGAGAGCCAGTTTGGTGTAGTGGTTAAGGGCATCAGGCTAGAAATCGGGAAACCACAATGAGAAGGAAAGAAAGGAAAGGGAAAGGGTAGAACAAAGTTGGATGGAGATGATGTAAGGCAGGGTTCCTCAACCATGGCAACTTTAAGATGGGTGGACTTCAACTCCCAGAATTCCCCAACCTTGCCCGCTGGGGGAGTCTTGGGGGT